CTTTTCTATTGCATAATTGACGACAGCAATGAGTTCACCGCTTCGCCTGGTCTTTGGAATTCACCCAAAACCATCAAGGGGATAAACTCAACAGGTTCGTGTTTTAGGGGAGGAAAAAAAGTCTACACACTTGTAATATCTTTAACCCTGATTGTTCTGGTGCTTTGGGTTTCTTCACTGTTTTGTTATAAGTGCTTAGAAGTACTGGCGTATAGTCTTTAGTAAGTAATGTGTGTGGTTCAGTTCGTTCTGTTCACAAGCACTTCGTGAGTATGGATGTGTGATTTTTTTTCGTTTTTTTTAGTTTTTTTTTTCGTTTTATTTCTAATGGTATCGTGAATGAATTATGCAACACTTATTTCATTGTCTTTTTTTTCAGTTTTGTTTGTTTGACAGGCTGTTGTTGTTGTTTTTGCTGCTGTATCTTTAGCTTGCTTATTTAGTTACTTATTATTACGTTTACGTCTTCCAGGAAGATGTCGTCTAAAGCCAATGATTCATAAATCATGCACTTTGTTGCCCCGGCGTACACAAGAAATTTTGCAAGGCGAAGAAAGTCATACTCACAGTCAACGCTGTAAGACTGATTAACGCTGACACAGCCTTCTACCACGAAAGAAAATCAAATGACTACCGCCTTGTAAGTGAGGCAAGGGAAAACAAGCCAAAGCGACAGTTAATTAGAATGAAGGGAGGCAAAAGCGACGTTTCGTCGTAAAAACGCGAGAGAGTCAGTTTCGCTTTTTCATCCTCCTTCCCGCCTCCTTTCTTTCTTTATTCAAGGAAATATGAAATCATATATTTTTTTCCAGTAAACAATACAAAAAAAAGTAAATGTAAGCATGCCCCGCAGCGGCACTGAAGAGGCATATGGCACTCCTAAAAAGTCTCCTGCTATTTCGCGGCCGAGGCTGTGTGAGCGGACAACCTGAGCGGTGCCACCTTCCGACGCCGTGGTCGCTCACACACTGGCTCCCTGCCTCGCCTGACCCATCCAGCCTCATTCCTACCCTGCGCACGCCCACCGCCTACAGAAGACGTCACTTCATTGCACTTCCTCGCCCACATCCTCACACTAGATGTCATTTCACCTGCACTTACACGCTCACATCCTTACGTAAGTGGTAGGGTCACCTGCACTTAAAATACTTAAGCCCCGCTTACATCCCCGAACAAAAGGTCATTTCAGTAGCCCTTACACGCCTATATCGTCACACCAGGTGTCCCTTTACTGCACATACGCGTTCATCACTTGACATTAGAGGTCATTTATTATTTATTATTCACACGTATGCCATTTCACCCAAAATATCATAGCAGTGATACAAACTTTCCTACTTCATATTTGACGTCATACCACTACCACACACACGCGCGCGTGCTTACACAGGGCCCCTAGACATTACCCGTACCTTGCCCTCACTACACAAATTTACACACACAAATGCTACCGTTCGGAAACATTAAAACTCTGCGGGCCTAATACCCACATTTAACTTAGACTTTACTAGTATTGTACTGTGTTTATCTTGTACACAGCTAAGCCTCTAAATAATATTCTGATTTGGCCGATTTGTAAAGGATCCTTAGTTTTGTAGATCCCTGTATTCCTGATTTCTCTAGCTAGTTTTCCCGAGCTATTATGTGTGTAATTTGTGTGTGTGTATGTGTGTGTGTGTGTGTGTGTGTGTGTGTGTGTGAGTGTGTGTGTGTGTGTGTGTGTGTGTGTGTGTGTGCGTGTGTGTGTGTGTGTGTGTGTGTGTGTGTATGTATGTTTGTCTATGTCTGTATATGTGTATGTGCGTAAGGAACAAATATAAACATTGCCATAAAAAGATAAAGAAAAAATTCCGTACGGATGTATATACCCTCTGTATGCTTATCCTCGGCAAAGGACACCAAGTTTCCGATAAATGTTTTGGGGAAAAAAATGAGGTTTCACAAGCACCAAAGAACAGAATAAAAGAATTGCTCTTTCATGCTCATAGGAATTTAAACAGTCTTGCTCAAGGAACGACGGAAGCTGGAAAGAACGTACACGGATTTCGCAAGCAACAAAAGTTCGGAGCATGAAAGCATAACGCAAGGCGAGTTTAGGAAGTGCAAGATATGCAAATAGCTTGACAATTCAATTCACTTTTGAGTATCATATTTTACAATCAGTAAAGCTTCTGTATTTGTATTCAGTTTTCTAGGGCTTTTAGGCAATCGAGATAAAGCTCTTGGCAAAGGGTACAACGCACTAGCAGGGATTCGAACCTTCGGTCTCTGATTGTCGTGACACGTCTGAGTCCGATGCTCTAATCCAGTGGGTCCCAACCTTTTTCATTCCGTGAACAATATGAAATAATCTCTATGGCCCCATTTAGTGACTGTCATCTTTTCAGATTCAGTTATTACTAGTTATGACGAGTGAAATGGTATCAGTATAGGACAAGATTCCAATTTCTTGATATGTGAGAGATAATTAGGTATAGGTACCGTAGGTGAGATTAAATTC